TCCTGAAAGGACAGTAAAGTATCGTGTATCTTCTTGATTGAACTTTTAGATGCATTAGTGAAAATGACCACATCACCAGAATAGGCTAAGTGGGAAATCCCCACCTTAGCCTTAATTTTATAGTGAATGTGTGGATGAATGTTAAAGGCATTATTAATAAGCTTAGAGAAATAATCAAAAACCAATATAAATATATAGGGAGAAAGTGGGTTTCCTTATTTGATGTCTCTCCTAGAAATAACGAACCCATGAGCCTGGCCATTTATAATCACCTGATAGAAGTTACCTTCCAAACAAGATTTAACAAACTTACAAAAGGAAGTATGAAAGTCTTTAAGCTTAAGAATCTCTAAGATAAACTGCCAGTTAATCGTATCATAGGCCTTTTTTAGGTCAAGTTTAATAATGTGGTTGCCACCCCTACTTTTAGCAACCTTATCACATTGTAATTTTTGCGCTAATAGAATATTATCAGTAATGCCTCTACCTTAAATAGAGGCAGATTGGTTCACCTTTATTAATTAAGGTAAATGTGACTTTAATCTATCCACTATCACTTTACTAATTAGCTTAGACATGGTAGATGCTAAACAAATAGGCCTAAAGTTCTCCCATCTTCTCTTGTCATTTGTTTTTGGAGATAGAGTTACAGATGAAGTAGTAAAATATTTTCACATGAGAGTATCTTTAAAGAAACATTGAATAGTGTTGACCACATCCTTACCAACCACATTCCAACATTTTAGATAAAAATGTGTTGCGAAGCCATCTGGACCGCCCGTTGAGTTCCCATCCACACTCTTTAAAGCGTTAAGAATTTCAGTTTCATTGGGAACATCAGCCAAATTTAAACCTTTAACATAATCATAAGTGTCATTAAAGAAATTCCTGCCCTAGGCTTGCAATCTTTTTCTGGATGGTGAGATCTAGACTTATTTCCTACGGTTTTAATCCTAGTGTCTGGTTAATCGACATTCCTTCTTTAGCTATTTGATTCCTGTAGTTTTTCAACTGAATAGGTATGGTATTTCAGAAGTTTTCTAGATCGTTGGTGCTTGTAAGCTGCTGTTTTTTTGTTCCTCTTTGGATTTTCTTATTGTTTGGCTTTGTGTGAGATGGTTTGTTTCCTTTTCTTTTTTTATCATTCCCGTTCTCTACATTTTCGATCGGCCGCACTAGTTATTTTGTTACTGGATTAGCTTGGTTGTTGGTCGCTTCTTCGTTAGGCGCCATGGTTTTTCTTGATCTGGCAATTTTTCTGGTTCTGCTTGCTTGTCGGTAGGCTGTTGTTGCTTGTATGGTTATGTCGGCTTTGATTTTCGGTTGTAGTTTGGCTCATTTTGGTTGGCTATGATAGATAGATAGATATATATATATATATTTTCAATTGACAAGCAGATGTCATACCAACTGAACTGTGTACTCGATGCCTATATATATATATATATATATATATATAATCATATTTTTCCCTCAGATAAGTGGTAATAATTAACGAAAATAATACGATATTTATCTTACTTGAATGAGCTATTGAAGTGTTAAATAAATATTTTCACTTCTAAATTTTAAACTCAAATAGAACATTAAAAAATAGCGACTGATGATAGTAAGATCTCAATTTAATTTTAATGTCCATGCATCACAATTCACAAAATAATATATTTTTCTATTTCAGCATCATATATAATATATATCTTTATGAATGACCAATTATTCATTCATAATGTCTATCAAAGCATTTCATTATTATGCTGATATTATAAGGGACTTGATGTGTATTTTTTTATTATGAAGTTTTATGATAGAAATTATTTCATATGGGACTAAGGTAATCACTTTACACCGAATGAACTTATGTTGAATATATTGATCCATAATACTTTTTGTAAATTCAAGAGAAGATATCACATTATAAAACCTTTAATAATAATGGTGAGAGGTTTATTACGACAAATAAATGAATTTTTAAAATTTACAAATAAGTTGCTTATTCTTAATTAAGATAAACCCTTTTGATTATTTCACATAAATTTCATCCTATCTATTTCTTTTGGGGAAAACATTCTTATATCTATTTAATGTAGCTACGTATCAAAATGACCTGCAAATTTTGTGATTATTTGGAAAAAAATTTCTTTTTCAAAATTAAAGAGAATTTTAAGTATAGTTAAATCTTATTTCTTGAGCTACCCTTTACCTTTTCTTTTTTTAAAGTATGGTCGGATGCTATTACAAGAGTCTTCAGCCACCCTCATGTGTCTAGCTATTAGAGGACTGCCCTCACTACCGACAAACTTATCAGGCGAGGATTCAAACCCGTGAGATAAGGGAACTTACGACCTTCAAAAAGGCTACTCTACCAATAGATCACGGTTAGCGGCACGAGCTACCCTTTACCAATTAGTCTTTTCTTATATATTTTTAATATCACCAAGAAAATAAATATCTTCTAATATATAGATCCACTTATCAGGCGAGGATTCAAACCCGTGAGATAAGGGAACTTACGACCTTCAAAAAGGCTACTCTACCAACATGTCACAGTTAGCGGCACGAGCTACCCTTTACCAATTAGTCCTTTCTTATATATTTTTAATATCACCAAAAAAATAAATATCTTCTAATATATAGATCCACTTATTTCAACTCATATTTGACATTGAGGCAATTTAACAAGTTCCAATACCTATTTACTAGCCCTTAAATTCATATAATATTGTTTGGAATTATAATATAATGTGGATTTATTTTCATTTAACTCTTATTATCTTTATCACCAATATCACTTCCAAAATCATAAAAATACACTCCAAATTGAGTAAAAATGTAAGACTTTGTTTATTCTAATAGATTTCCTTAACATCAAATAAACAATTTCTATAAAAAATGTCCTTTAATTAAATCTTCTAAAATATTTTAATGTAATGAAGCATTTCAATATTTATTTGTTCATTATTTTTTCTATCATGAAGTAATTCTTGAAAATCAATCAATTGACCTAAACCTTCATGAGTGCGATGAGAATCCTATATGCATATTAGGAGTAAGTCAAACAAAAGAATTAACATTCATGTGTTTTGATTCACAAAACCTAAAAGAAATACTTCATTAAGCTCTTGTTTAGTTGGTTAAAAGGAATTTTTCTCTTTTCCATAACTCAAACATTATTATCTCATATATTTAAAATTGTAAAATTGTGTTCCTTATTTTCATTATGTATTTGCGCACTTTTGGGTGTCATTAAGTTTGATGGTATGCAACATTATCATCAAAATGCATGTAAAGACCTTAACTAAGGGTTTGTTTGGGGCAGCTGCAGCTTGTTAAATAATTTGCTGATAAGCTGATTAAAAATAATTTGCTTATAAACTAGGTGCGGTGGCTATTACAATTTTTTTATTTTTTTCGAAAAGCCAGACCGTTGCCATAGAGCTGTCACCGCACCTAGATTGGTGCTTTTCAGCGACGCTTTTTTCAGCGTTTTTGAAAACGCATAAGCTGCCAAAACGCAGTTTACCCAAACAAGTCAGATGCGTTTTCAAAACACCACCGCATTCAAATAAGATGCCTCAAACGGACCCTAAGAACTTGAACTACTATTAATATCTTTGAAATAATCCTTTATTTTATCATATTCAAGAATTTCAATTTTCTGATCTTAAATAATTGCAACATTCCCAATATTCATATGATGCTTTGTCGGATTAAGCACATGATTCTCAAGTTTCCTGAACATGAAGTGCTAAATTAAAATCCATGATCTCAAAGTAAGAAGAATTTTCTCCTTCGAATCCATGTGTTTATCAGCACCACTTAGCACTAGAACATAAGATGAATCATAAATTGGAATAGATTCAGTTTAAATTGTAAATAAATTTCACAGGCTTAATCAAAACTATTTTGAGAAAAAAAAAATATTATATACATACATACATACATATACATACACATATATACATTTATATACATAAATATATGTATGATCACGCACTTTTGGCCTATATATATGATCTCTTGAATGGATACTCTACTCTTCTTGTAAATGTGAAACATAATTATTTACTAATATGATAATTATCTTAAATAATTGGCTGCTTAATCATAAGATAAATTAATCATTTGAATAATATGATATTTAATTCTATCATTTCTGACACATTAACCTAATGATCTTGTATTTCAGACATGCTTAACTCCAAATACGCATCTTAGTTATCTGTATTATCTTGGTTATCTTTGTCATGAATACGTTTCTGTTTCATTATGGAATTTATAGCTCCTCCGGCGTCTTTGAAACTTTTTTCTTCTAGAACAACTTCTCTTGGGGGCATTGTTATATTTATATGTCTAACATCTAAACTATACTTTTTTACATTTATAACACTCAAATACTTTATATCACATAAAAAATACAACCATTTTAACTTATACTCTACTACACTTTTTCATGCTATGCCATGTATGTAAGAAATTGAAGCTTAGGTGTTGGATTTGTAAATATATAGGAATTGAGTGGTGTCCGTATAAATTTTCCTTTCTTTTATGTTCCCTTGCGTCCAGCTTGTTCGCTATGTTTCTTCTCAATCAAACAAATATTTGAAAACTAAACTCCAGTCATTTTCAAATTCATTTATTTCATGCCACAAAGAAAGCTCATTTTCTGCCATTAAACCGAAAAAAAAAGCAAAGGTCCGAGGCCCGAAGCGCACCACTTATTACTTATTAGTTCCCAAAAAAAATGACTTTGAGGCAGCAGAAAAAGTTTAAATAAATATAAATTTAAGTCTGAAAACGAAAAACCATAACGTCTCAAAGACAAATAAGGATAAAAATTTAAATTCTATGGGCCAAAAGTAAGTGATGTAAACAAAATTAGGTGACTTATTTTTGCAACATAAGGTTTTAAGAGATTAAGAAAATGCAAAATCTGTGCTTTGTTGAGAATTTTCTGTTCAGCTGTCACAAAGAATAGCGGCCTCTATATTTGATGCAGACAAAAATCCTATGGTGCCAAATTTACTTCCTACAATATTCATAAAACAATATCTCATATAAGCTGAAAACTTTGTTTTTGAGAATCAAAAACTTAAAACTTGATAATCGCACACTTTTTATTGGAATTTCCAACAACCTTTCAATCACAATCCTCCCTCTCATCATCCCTAACTACTTCAAAAAAAAAAAGCCCTGATCAATAAATAATCATCCTTCCAATTGGAAAGAAAAAAAAATATATATATTAACAAATAGGCTTACATGACCATCGACAGCCCAATCGCAAACCCCCAAATGTTACTCAGATCTGTCTTCTGCAGACGACCGCGTGAACCCGATCGCACCACTTCCAGTCGGGTTCGGCGCACCGCACGCACCAATGCAAGTCGATAATGCCCGCTCCAACCCGGTCACCACCTCGCTCATACTCGGCCGATCCATCCCTGCCGGGGTCACACAATCCGCCGCCAAATACCCGACATAAGCCACCGCCTCGATTTCACACGGCGTCGGCGGCGAAAGCCTCCCATCCAGCACGCAGTGTATTTCATCCAACTCTATTCTTGGCACGGCGTGTTCCACCACATTCCTCGGCGTTCCGCTCTCCGCGCTCCTCTCCACAGCCTTAGACCCTGTCAACAGCTCTAACAGCACCACTCCAAAGCTATAAACATCGCTCTTCGCCGTTAAATGCCGAAGCCGATAGTACTCCGGGTCCATGTAGCCCACCGTCCCCGCAGCCGCCGCCTCCCCGTTCTCCGCCTCCTCCTCCTCCTCCCCTTCTTTTGGGTTTAGAAGCGAAAGTCCAAAGTCGGAAACTTTGGCAGTCCAGTCATCGTCCAGGAGTATGTTGGAAGACTTTATGTCGCGGTGGATTATTGTCGGGACGGCGTACGCGTGCAGATACTCGATTCCCCTCGCCGCGTCGAGCGCGATACGGATTCGGCCAGCCCAAGAGCCCAGCGGCGATCCGGCTGGGCCGGGGAAGCGGAGGTGTGCGTCGAGCGTACCGCGAGTCATGAACTCGTACACCAGGATGAGCTCCGCGCCCTCTCGGCAGAACCCGTAGAGCCTGACTAAGTTCTTGTGGTTCACGCGAGAGAGTAATGCGAGTTCTGCCAGGAATGCAGTTTCCATCTCCCGGCGGCGAAGTGGAGCGCTACGGGAGGTTGAAGCGGTGGGCGTCCGCGCCGCTGCTGGCTGAGGCTTAGCTCGTTTAATGGCGACGATTCGACCGTTGGGCAGAGTTGCGCGGTATACCGAACCGAAACCGCCTGACCCGATTTTATGCTTTTCTGCGAAGCCTTCCGTGGCGGCGAGCAGGGCTTCTATTGAATATTCTTCAACCATCGGGCTTGGCCCTTTGGCGAAAAGTCTCGATAGGTTTAAGTTAAAGGTCGGGTAGGCGGCGTTGGTAGAAGGTGGAACGCGGCCGGAATCGTGAATGCGGCCGTTCTGTTTTTTGGCACGGATGATTAAGAAGCAGGCGGAGGCTAAAGAGCCGATGCCGAATCCAACCGAGCCGAGGAGAATGAAAAGGAGCTGTCTTCGGTTGGATGGATGGGTGGGGGTGATGGAGGCAGCTGGTTTCTGAGGAGGCGGTCGGGTTGGTGGATGAGGTGGTGAAGTTGGGGGCGGAAATGGCCGGAGACAGGACTGGCAGATAGCCTCGCCGTGCCCACAGTTGTTGCCGGAGCCGGGAAGGATGCCGCATCGACAGGTTGAAATGGAACGGCAGCTCCCCGGTAGAACCTGACTAAAAATGACCGGATTATGGTGAAAAGTCTCGTTTCCCCAACAGATAAGAGAGTAATTCTCCGTGAGAATGCCGCAGAAAGCTCCTCCCCGTGCTTCCACTGCCATGAATTGGGCCATTTCAAATCCTGGCGGAGGCTCGGCTCCGGCTCCTAGACAGAATACCGTTCCGTTGAACCGTATGACGCAAGTCCGACTATCCCCGAGAGCCAGCGAGCTTACCTCCGACACCGTCGCCGACGGCGCTCCGTCGCCCCAACAAACTAATTCACCGGATACAGAAACCGTGCAGGCGTGCCGAGTCCCGGCGGCAATCGATGTAAAATCACCTTTCGGCTCCGTACCGACGACTCCGCTGGCGTTGCTGCCGAAGCATCGAGGTATGCTGGAGTCATGAAGTCCGCAGACGAAGTCTCCACCGACGGATATGGCAGTGAAGTGAAGATCGGAAGGTATGGTAAGCTCCGGCCATCGCCAGCAATTGGGCTTGCCGGAATCACCAATTATGCCACATACGTGGGAATCACCAGAAGCGAGGGCAGCCAAAGAAGGACCTTTATAGACGCGCTTCGATGGGGCGGGGATCTGAGAGAAGTCCCACCACCGCATAGTTGAAATGGACTGGTTCGCCTGCTCGGAGCTGAGAGCGCAGAGGAAGCCATTGCCGGCAGCAACGGCGGAGTAGAGAAAGCCGCTGGTAGAGCGGTATGTGTGGCTCTTGCCGCTCGGCAACGCCGTGCAATTGAGAGCATAAGGGCCTTCGTCGTCGCTGGAGGGGAGAAGAGCGCAGATTATGGTCTGGTTGCCGACTTGGGAGATGGCGATGGTTGAGAGAGGATAAGAAGACGCGAACAAAACAGAGGATGACACGAGGGTAAGAAGGAGAATTAGGAGATGGTGAAGAGAAGACATTGGAATTGAGAAACGTTTGTTATTAGGTTTGAAAATATCATCTTAGCAACGAGACGGGGAAGGAGAAGAGGAGGAGGAGGAGGAGGAGGAAGAAAGGTTGAAGGAGAGAGAAAGAAAAGGGCTTTGTTTATGTTCTTATGGGTGAGATTTGTAGGGCTTTGTTTGTTTCTATGGGTTGAAGGAGGGAGACGCGGAATGGAAGACAAAGGACTAGGTTCAAGTCTATTGTCTTCTTCTTTCCTTCAGATCACACTTGCTTTTAGGCCCTTAGCCATGGTGTTCTTTGATTTTGTCCGATTGGGGTGACTTTTGTAGCCTATTTGTTGCTACTTTTTTAATAAGATAAATTTAAGCTCCATAATTTTAAATTTTTTATTTAATCTAATGATGGGATTTGCAATTTCCAATTTTTTTTTATTAATTGGTTCGGGAGTAAATTATGTTCTCCGTTAGGACTTCACACCAAGTGGGAGGTGACAAAAAAAAATGACCTAATAAGAAAGATAAATATTCTCCCGTGTTATTCTGTAATATTTAGTTTTTGTTGTATGTTAGTCAACTGTTATTATTTTCCGAAAATATTCTCGGTGTTATAATAACACAATAACATATCAATAACACTTGAATAACACATAATAACTCTTGAATAACACGGAAAAAATATTCTCTTGTGTTATCGATTATTTTTTTTTTTTCTGTGCAGAATCCTGATGCAATATTTTCCCATTTTTTTTAGTAAAAATATAAAATATATACTTTTAAGAAAAGTACATAAAGGTAATCAAGATTCAAGAACACTTTCTATAGAAAAAAAAAAAACTAAAAATTTAATTATTTCCCTAATAAAAATAAGAATAAAAATGAGATGGGGAAAAAAATGTTAGAATAATAGCTGTCAGCCACTGAGCGAAGTTTTGGGTAAAAGACAAAATTACAAGGTTTTTATTTTTTTGGTGTACTTTATCGCATCGTGCCAATTGATGGAAGTTACAAATTAGTAATAGGAGCTGATGTATTTTCATTTATAGAGGCGTGCCGTTGAGTATATTAAGAGTTTCTAGTATTTAAACTATGAAAATTTTCAATTTTAGGTAATTGATTGAGTGCGTAAAACGAATATAAAATATTTTTCTAAGGCCACTTGATTTGCTAAAAATAAAATGTGATGCAAATAATTTACAGAGTTTTATGATTATGATATATATAAAATATTTTCGAGTTGTTTGGTTCGCTGTAAAATAAACAAAAACTTCTTTTCTTTTCTTTTTTTTAGTTTGAAGTAAAATGAAAACAATGTATTTATTTAAGCAAAGGGTGGCGTGCAGTAGCCGACAATGGCGATGATGGTGGAGACTGTAGATGAGTCAGCTACGGCGGCTGCAAGGGGGCAGATGACGGCTCCAGCAAGTGATGGATGGCAATGGCGAGCGACAGTGGCTGCGGCGAGCAACAGTGGCGGCAGAAGGTGACGACGACAGGGACGGGAGAAGGCGGCAAGGAACAGAGGAAGATGACAGCGGCAGGCGGCAAGCGGGTGACGAGCTGTGGCAACTTGTGTGATTCAAAGTGCGGGTGGCATGTGGGCCGAATTCAAAATTAATTCAAAATGAATTACACTATAACTTTCAAATGCATTAAAAATTTATATTGTATTTGTAAATTTTCATTTCAAACACATTATTTTGTCAAACCACTGCAAAAGAATTAGAATACACCGCTAATTTACACAATGAAACAACCCCAAAAAGTTTTGAATAAATCTAAAGCCCATCTTAGAGGAATTGGAATGCATTCAAATCTAACTATTCTTCATTATTGAGGTGTAGTCAACAAATCATTATAGAACACAAGTCTTGATGTATTTTTTATGTGAAATTTTTCAAATTCTAACTCAAAATCATTCGGACACGATTTCAACATGTTTGTAGTCAAACCGAGCATCTTGACAAGACGAACCCAATGATGTCAAGATTGATTCAATTCGAGTTCACTCAAGTCTAGATCAAGCCATTGAAGAAATCGTTGATTAAATGGTCAAGTGAACTCTAAATTTGACTTACTTATAATTGAATCAACTATTTCAAAAAAAAAAGAATCGAACGATCATATGGTTAGGGAAGGTATATGCAAAAGACTAAAATACTAGCCTCAAAATACTATAATTAAATCATCTCTCCTCAATTGAGGGGAGGAGAAAAAAGAGAAGGAGAGGTTAAATTCCATAATCTACTATGAAGAGAAGACCACTTGAGTAACCATTGGCCTCCGTGACTACTATCCACTATTAACCATCGATCTCCCCAGGCACCGACCAACATCGACCACCGACCTTCGTAGAAACTGGCCTTCATCGACCGCCACCTGTCATCATCACTTACCACAACATACAATTGACTGTCGACGATCACTGCTTGCAACCATTTTAACCAAACTATGATTGTCATTCCTAAAACTTATGTTTTTTTGGCTATATTAAAGACAATATAATCTTTAGTATAAAATTGTAATCTCATTCTCCTTGTTTTGAGAAAAGTTTTTATACATGTACTTACAGTTGATTACTTTCATTGGGTTAGGCCTCTTAATTTTATTTTCTTAGGATTTTATCAAATAAAATTGTGGTATCTCCTCTCGCTATTTCTTTATATGTTTGTGTATTGGCTTTTCATGAATCATTACCATGTTAATTTATCAATCTACCATGAAATATGTTTAGCATGTAATAATTTGACACTGCTTGTGAAAACAAAATCCCACATTAATAGAACTGTGAACACTCTTTTAATGGCTAATAAGCGTAACACTTGAACCTCCCGCTTAAATACCAACCATTACAATGAAAAATTTTGTAGTCTAGGACAAAAAGCGTCAGCATTTTTTTCCCATGACGAGCATCACACCGTTGATGAATATGTCTCTTCTTTGCCTTTATAAGTTTACATGCAAAGAATAGAGAAATATGAAAAGAAGATTTTTCAGCTTCAACGTGAAGCTCGATGACTAGTATTAGCAGAAATGGGTGAGGTTCATCTATCCCAAGACCAATCATCAATCCAGGGCCTCATTGTCGGTTGGAATTTTCGGAAAATATGTTTTGGATTTATATATATATATATATATATATAATGAGTCTGTCTAAAACTCATTTATTTAATAGTTTAAATAAACGAGCACAATACCACAAGCGATGCATTCATCACTAATGACTTGCACATACCATTACACAGCTTGCTTTGATGCACTCAATACCAATTGAATTTTAACATTTGAGTGTAGTGAGGTATAAGAACATTTAAATTTGAAAATTTAAAAATATCTTTGTATTAATTTGAGGACATTATGCATACGACATCAATCGTAGTAGCTTGATTGATAATAATGTAATAAGGCTTATAAATTTTGATATGCAATATTGAGGCTGACCATGCATGGTTTTGAATGAAATTAGGTGGCTTAGATAGCATCGTTTTCCAGGCAGGGTATAAGTCCATATAGAATAGGGTTCCAAAGTTTCACCTTTCCAAAGTTTCACCTTTCCAAAGTTTCACCTTTCTCGAACACTTCACCTCGAGATTGTTCATCTAGCTACGATGTAAATATTTACTTTTAGGCTCCTGCATGATTGTATGTCATGCAACATAAGTCCTAATAAAATATTAGGATAAAATATTAAAGCCCTTCCATAAGAACGACAAGCTCAGGCTCTTGAGGATGAAAACACAATCCTAATCGAGAGTTTTCTCAAATGACTTCAGTTACTTAATATGTACTTAAGTACAATAGCTTGCCCTTATAGGAAGAAGATGACCCTTGGACAGAAAAGAAGATTTGAATCTCTGGTTGTGGTTTGCTTGTGTAAGGTCTTCTCCGCATGCATGCTTCCAAGGAATTTTGAGTCGATCTCATTTTGGACGTATTCATTGGAGTTACCCGCATGAAGTTCACTTCATGAATGTCCTCCACACACTTTTTCTCATTTGTCTTTGTCATCATATATCCTTGTTTTTTGATCTCTCTCTCCTCACGGTCATACAATTTGAAAGAGTGTTAACTTGGAGAAGGGTTTATACGACGATAAATAAACTAACGACTCTTCAACAACACAACAAAATAGACAAGGACAAGAAAGCGAGGTTAGAAAAAGCACCGACAAATATTTTTTGTGGCGATTCCATTGAGGACATCTTCTCTCTCCATCTTTCGCTGATAAATTTGGCCTCATACATTGGTATGTTCCTCTGCCGTGCATAGGTCATATTACCTTTCTCTTGTGGGTATATTTTGCTTATTTCATTCTTTGGCAAAGCATGACGAACTTTTCTTTGATTCTAGAACCGTTCCATCAAACGTACAGGTCCTATAATTGTTGATTTTAAAATTAATTAACAGTTTCCTCGATGAGGGAAACCAACTTTTAGCAAAATGTCGATAACTCAACACTAAAACATTCAAAAAACATTTTAACCCAATCTTCTCCTAGTCTTAGGACTGGGTCTGGATTGTCCTACCAGAACCTTCACAAACAAAATAATCACAATGAAATAAAATACTCAATTTTCATAATAGGTCATAAAACGTATAATGGAGTTCTGAGGACAGATCAAACAAAAATTTTGAATTTCTCTAAATTGTAGTAATGAATTTCCTAAGGTTGATCTTTTCATTCACCGGAGGACATGAATTGCCAATAAAGAAAAGTGCTTGATACCAGGGATCATCAATTAAGTTTGGGTTCAGGTTCAATGAAGTTGAAGGGGTGCTCGACAATGTGCCTCACACTGTAATAAAGGCAACTGTTGCATAGGTTGTAGAGCCACCTGTTGAAATCAACCTAAAATTTGACCAAGATTTCCCTTCACTAAAAATGACTCTAGTTGATAATATTTTTAATGTTAAGAGGACCCAGAAGTTCATTATTGTTTGCCCTACCTTTGAGTCCAAGAACTACCTTTGAGTCCAAGAAATATTATCTCAATGAAAGTCTATTACTAAAGAAGAAGAGTGTGTTCCACTATCATCTGTATTTGAGATTGAGTTCAGCTCTAAGTCCTTGTTGATGACACGCAGTCATTGTAAAAATACGAGCCGCTCCACTTAGAAGAAAAAGAAAAAGAAAATTGAAAACACAAAACATTGATCAACCCAAAAAAATGAGACTTCCTGAGAACTATCCTCAGTTAGGAGGAAGCATGTTCTACCCATTGTCCACCGCTCATGGTGAGGAGGATGTTTATCGGATTGTCCTTAGTCTGCCCCAATCCTTACAATGCCAA